CGGCCGAGTGTCTTGCCCAGCATCCTCACAGCCTGAGCCGGGGCAGCTGCAGGGACGGGGAGAAGAAGACCCCGAAGTGCTTGTCACACACCCTGGTGTTTTATACTTGAGGCAGGAGATGGGAGAAAAGGGCACAGCAGAGCCCGCTTTGGGATTGCAAGGACGGGGGAGCAGCGATGCACTCACTCTACATCCGCAGGGACAAAGCCCATTGTCCAAGGCGCTGTCATTTTTCCATGTCACTGTGTTACTGACTCTTTGCTATATTTAATCAAGCTGGAAATTGTCACTAATTTTTCAGAAGAAGATGCAACTTTGCTCCCTGATAGCAGCTTGACTCCTCTTTTCACCCACACTGTGCCTGTTTGTGTCGTGTGCTTGGAAGACTCAATTTCTACTAAATGGAGAGGTAGTCGTCGCTACGAGACAGCCGTGGTTCCTCACTGGCAGAACTTTAGATTGTTAATAATACAAGATCATGCCCCCCATCTATCAATCAGTTAGCTTTTCAAATAAAACGGTAAGAAATCTGTTTAGCTCAATGTAGTTGGAGTAAATCAGGGACATGTATGCACTTGCTGAAGATTGAGAGGCTGGAGGTTTTCCAGACTTCATCTTCTGGATAAATTGTTGAGGATTTATTCGCTGTTTTATTTCTTGACAGCTACTGCATTCATTCACGGCAGAGGTTAGAACAATTGCATCGAACTATTTGAAAAATATTAAGATTAATGATTTTATGTGTAAACTATTTTTTCCCCACTCAGAACATTAAGGGATAAGAAAATGAAGGAGCTTTTCTTTTTGAGGAAATGAGGCCTCGGAGGTCCTGCCTGGCTGTCTTCAAAAGAAGAATGGAGATGGTTTCCAGAAGAACTGAGGGTCTGAATCCACTTGTGCTCTGAAAATTGTAAACGGTTGTGCTTTAGGAGCGTCAGAAGGACAAGAAGTTCACATGCTTGCCTCTGAGGTCGCGGAAAAGTACGTGTAGCAGAAGAAAGTAAAGAAACACTTTGTCAAAAAGTTGTTGGAGAATATTAGGGCTCTTTAGATGAGGAGACCTGAAATATTATTAACCCTTTAGTACCATTTATTCAGTGCCCTCTGCCACTGAATTATGGTAGTTTCTATGCAGGCTTCACTATATAGGTAAGAAAACTTGTTACTAAATACTAGAGTAGTCTTCTTTTGCATATGATTTGAATTATTAAATAGCTTTTTGATGATTTGATGTAGGCAAAATAGCCAAAGTAAGTATATTATCTCTGATAATCATTTGACCTGTGCTATTAGGCTTGTGTTTGCTTACTGGATAAATGTGAGTGTAGAATCGAGTGAAAGTCTGTTTTCAGTGTGCCAGGGGAGAAGAAGGCTCTTTGCCTTTATTTACATAAGGTCACGTTCTTTATGCCCAGATAACTAGAGTGTTTGTATTGCAGCAGGTCTCTAATAGAGACAGCAGAGAGAGTCCTTTTTACCACAGCAGAGTGAGGAGGGACAGAGTTTACTTTGAAGGAGAATTATGTGTTGTCTTGCACAGGGAATCAGAGTAAGTGGGCAGTAGCTGACCAGTAGTCAAAATGTATTTTGATCAAACACGGGGAATGGAGAGATGAACAGAGCTAGGGAATGTTGCAAAAGATTTATTCACACAACCTTTGTCTGAGACTTATATTCAGAATGCTTTTATAGAATTTCTTTGCTCAGAGTATGAATTTTTATTGTAATTACATTAACAAAATTGGCTATCGGCATGAGTGAGTTATGGATAATGTTTTCGTCTAGCTTTTTGTTTCTACCTGATAGCCAGAGATCAGCTTAGACCTTGACAAAACAAAAAATAGGCAGTGGTTCATCCGAGGAAAAGTAAAATAAATTTTGAACATGCAGGAAAGGACTAGAAGGAAATAATGTGGACTTGTACATGCTTTGTAATGTCTTCTTTTGGTACATTTTCTGCTGCTTTTTTCCTAGTCTTTGTCTATGAAGGCAGTCTCCTATATAAATTCTCAAAGACTGTTCAAGAACGCTGTGGAAATGAACTGTTACCTATAGAAGTAGTACAGATCTTACTGACTTTGAGAAGATAAGGATCTGAGACCCTCTGTAAGTTCAATTCCTACAGTTACATGAAGGAGAATGAATCGCTGGGGAAAGCAAATTAACTGAAAGCTCTTTCGAGATGGGATTTTCAAATTGTTTCAAAGGAAATTAGCTGTCCAGACTCCATTAAAATATAACCGAAGCTGGAGCATAAGTCTCCTGGTCTTCTCTGATAAACTTAGCTCAGAAAAAGTTCATTGTGTTTGATAGCCTTGAACGTTCATCGTTCCACTATCAGCTTCAGCCTTGACATGAAAGAACTTGAAAGCCACAGAAACCACTTCTCTAACATTAGTCCCATGCGATGTGTGGCAGCAAAACTTCACACTAGGGGAGGATAGGGAGCGGTACAATAACTGCTAACGACATCATTTTCCACCAAACCAATTTTAATCTGCTGTTTAGGGACTTGCAAATGGCCTTAAATAGCTCTTGCCATTGAAGAAGCTCATTGGAAGTGCTGTTCAGCAATGCACTTAAACATCTGCACCTTCGTTTAATTGTTCTCCGAGTTATGTTTAGGTCAATCTTCAAAAGTTGCTGTGTCTAATGTTTCTGCTCCCCCCTTTGGTAGTAAAGGAGGAGTAGGGGGAGGAACAGCTGTGTACTCTCCCAGGCTTCACTCAGACTAAGTGCTGTTCAGTAATTGTACAAATACGAGGCTGTGCAGATGCTCATACTGTGATTTTCCTCCTTTCTTGTGCATTTGGATCAGCAGAATATTAGGTTATGGTTTAGTCTGCAGTTTATATAGAGTATGACACAGTCTCCTGGACTGTGGTACTAGGGTTCAACTCTTTTTCCGACAAAAACTGGCAAAAGTTTGCTAAACTGATGATACATGTCAAACCAGTGAGATGATATTGTCAGTAATAAATTTATTAATGCCTTTTTCTACAAAGCCAGGTCAAAACAACCATGTTTTTGTTTCAGCAAAGGAGAGAGAAGCAGTGAAATTGATGATCCGCTGTATGTACATAATCCATTCTGGGGAGATAGAAGCAGGTAAAGCAGAGTGTTGGCATCTGTGTTTGAACATAAAATACTCTGGAAAACTCAGGGCCCAGAGAAATTAAATTAGGCACCCAAACCTCTTGGCCTTAATCTACTTAGGTAGTTTTCCTTTTCCTGCAGTAATATTTTGAAGCTGGACTCTGTTGCGTGTTCGCAGAGTGTTTTAATAGTGTGCACTGAAGAGCACCAGCCCCCCGAGGGCTGGTTTGCTGCAAATGAGGCGCTGGAGAGCTGTGCGGAGCGGCAGGGAGAGAACAAAATACTGAGCAGTTGACTCCTGAAATGAACTGGAGCTCTCCGGCGGCGCGGGGAGGGAGCGCTCGCCCTCCGGCACATGTCAGCTCAGGACTGTGCATGGGTGCAGCGGGTACACCCGGGTTTATTGAAGCTCAGGGGGGATGCAGCACCAAGGACACAGGTGACCAGAACCCACCCCCCCACCCCCCCCAACTCGACATCGTGTCGTGTGTGGAGAGAGATGCCGTGCAGCCTTTGCTGTTAGCTGCATCCAGCCCTATTCACAGGGGGCCGTCTGCCTGTATTAGCGTGCTCCTGATCAAATTCAGAGGAAATCGGGTAATTCTTCTGTTTTGGTGACACGACAACAAAGGCAAAGGCTGAGGGTGTTTGTGTTGCTCTGCTAGGAACAAGGCCTCTTTCCTCCCGTGGGAACACTCAGGGTTGAGGCACTGCTTTGCATGGCTGCTTAATTTTAAGCCACTGTGATTTTTAGCAGTTGCCAGAGTGGGATCTGGGCACAGCACGGATCTCTCAAGAGCCACCCCAACAAAAGCCACTGTACCTTTGGACAGAAATAGGTGATTTTTTTTTTTTTTTTTTTTTTTTTTTTTTTTTTTAGCAAAAGGGTAACATGCACCCATAGTCTGTTAGTGGTTGTGGGCTGTGACTTCCAGAGGTGCGTGGCATGGCAGCCTCAATGGGTAGCTATGGGAATGATGTGCCGCCGTGTAAACCTCGATCGCGTGGATTGGGGTTGTTTCTTCCTACTCTTGCTGAAAGAATTCATTGCAGCAGCTGGGTGTACATCAGCATTCTCTGGGTGTGCTTTGATTTGCAGTGAAAGACAAACATAATTGAGTATAGGATGTAGAATCCTTTTTTTTTATTATTATTATTCTAGAGAACTCTTCAAATGGAGTATGAAGGATAAAAGGGTAATTTCATACCTGAAACCAAAAAAAAAAAATTAGTTATGAACACTTTCTCTTGATGTTTTAGAGCAATGGCTTTGTAAATGATCTGCATTGTTAGGCTGCACATAGACCTTAAACACACTGCAGTCTTTGGGGTTGTTCACATTAAATTATATTGTTCCAAACTGAAAGTAGTCTGTAATACTCCAGTCATCTTTCTTCTTTGTTCCCCACCCTGATCTTTTCTGATACATTAATTCTTGCTTGGAATCAAGTTCAGCAGAATAGGCTGCAGGAGGAAAAGCTACTGTTTAAAAAAAACGGCCAAGAACTTTTACTCCAGGTGTGAGCAGAAACCTGGAACTGCAGTTTTAAAAGATGTAGACCTTCTTTAGATCACTGCAAATCAGTAACTCGATTGAGGATGACAGGATTTAAATCCCATCCCTCCACCCCCATAACTGAGCTCAAAATTATGGTTTCAAGTGATTTTTGAAAAAAATCTGTTATAAAATTCCACAGAAAATGTTTCACAGCAGCACAGAAATTAAGGAAAGTTAATACTTCCAGATGCACTGAAGAAAAATCTCATTTACCTGATTTTGCACCTAATGTACCACTGAAGTTAATGAGATATAAGCTCTTAAGTCATTTCGTTGCTTTTGAAAATTTCACTTAATGATCAATTCCAGATTTTCCGAAGTATTTATTTTCACGTATCTCAAAAACTGATGTTATGACTCTTTTATTATGATTCAGCATTCCTTTGGTCTACTTTACATAAACATACAACGGTACAAATTTTATGGTAAATCTCCTTCACCTTACCAAAAAGAAAAATTACTCTTTTGTTGCTTTCATACCAGTAGAAAAAAATAAGAGTCATCGTGTGCTCCCCACGTAGGGGCGGATGGAGAACTGGAGCGGAGAGCCGTGGGGAGGCATTCGGGGGGGTTCGTGGCGTGGGAGTGAAGGCTCTGGGTGTTCGCAGCAAGTGGGGAGGCGGCGGGGCCGCGCGGCAACGCTGCCTGCTGGAATCGCAGCCTTGCTCTGCCTTACTGACAGCAGCGATCTGAGGCCTCCGAAGGGAAACGGCTGGAAGAAAAACAGGGTAAGAACTGGGTGAAGGGAGAAAAGTTGGCGGGGAAGCTGCAAAGTTAAAGAGAAATTCAAAGTCCTTCAGTGTAATCTCCTGGGCTCTGGTGATGACCGAGGCTGGAAAGGATTTGCCCTTGAATGGCAGGATGAGAGCGGGGAAGGGCTGACTGCAGAGGCAAACATATGAGAGAGGGGGGGGATAAAAGTTCTCAAATGTAAAAAAATCGCAATAGGTGGAAAGAGCAGAAAAGATTGAAAGGTTGGCAGTTCAGGGGAAACACAAAACATTCGCTTCTGTATGACACTGCAAAGAAATGTTATCTGGGGGTTTTGGTGGTGATGTCTTTTTTTTTGCAGGGACGCAGAGCCAGTATTTTAACAAGGGCTGTGTGTAAGGGCGTTTGATATCTCCAGCTCAGGCACTCGGGGTTTTCCTGAAGAAAGAAGTACAATGGTAGCACGTTCACCTTGCCCTTTGGTCTTGGGTTTTCCCCAGCCGTGGGCACGGGGGCTGCAGGGGTTGTGCTGTCGGCGTGGTGAGCGTGAGAAGGCAAGTTCCAGTTGCAGCAGAAATCCATGGCATTCATTTTGGTGGTGGGTCGTGGAGCAGAACCACAGTGTGACAGCTACTCCCGGTGTGTCGGGTGGATTGGGAAACAGCTCCGCCAGCACCGATCCCCTGTGCCTCTGTGCTTCTCTACCACGACTTGCCCATCGTGCACGTGCCCATCGCGATGCTTTGCAGGATGGGGAGATGATTAGAGATATGCCCCAAGTGAATTGTCCTGGTCCCATACCCGGTGCGTTGGCTGATGCGACGATGTTCCAGAAGTAGCCCCCAGCTGCTTACCCCACCCCTTCATTTCAGGAATTTCACTGCAGTGGTTTGTCCTCTGTCTCGTTTTCAAGCTTGCCAGCACAAAGCAAAAGGAGCTGCCTGATCGGAACTTAAAAAGCTGCTCCTTTTATCACTTAGGTCCCAGCTTGGCAGTGGCAATAGGGCAAGTTCACACGCTTCTCACTGGGTCTCAGATTTCTGGACCTATTTCCACTTTTATCCCATTTATGAAAACAGGAGTCCAAACTGTTGGACTTTTCTCTTCGCAACCTTCATTCAGCAACTAACCGAGTACATATTCATGAGGCAGAGTGGGAGGGCAGACCGTAGCTCTATGAAAGTATCTGTATTTTTGCACTTTATTCCAAGACCAAGTCCAGTATGAGTTTGTTCGTGGCTGGAAACATGCTCTCTCAATCCAATAGGATATTATGATTTAGGTAAGGAAATGAAAAGTGGATTTAGCTGGAATACTGCATACCACGCTTGAGTGAGCTATTTACTCTTCAGGAGACTGAAATATTTTATTATTAGGCAACCAAGTGGAAGTAACACTGCAGAATTTTAGCTGGGTATGAAATATGTACCCTTACACAGCATTTCTAAACTGTTAGCAAGATGAAAGATAACAATGCTTTTTCACGTACTCTTTTTAAAGTGGCCAGTCTCAGTCTCTGATTCTGAGCAAACCGAAGGTGTGTTTTTGTCTTCAGTGAATGGTAGATGCAAATACATTTTGAAGGCAATTAGGCAGAGTATTTTTATTTTTGCTCACAATAAACTGCAAGCACATAATTGCTAGTACAAGGTTGAAGGTTATTTACTAGAATTCGATGACACGTGTGATTAATCTCTTACCTACTTTTTTTCACTTATTAGCAAAATTTTAAATTTCCAGGGGATCTGTACAGAATTCCAAGGGATGAGATTACAGGGCTGAAAATACTTATCACTGGTGGCTGTGTGTGCAGAATATACTGCGTTAACTAGGCGGTTCTTGCTGCTCAGCTGTTCTCGGGTAGCGTGCATCTCTCTCCCGGAGAACATCCAGCAACATCAGGTACCCCGAAATACTGCAGATCCGTGCATCCTGGAGAAGTGTCTGGCTGTCATACGGCCATTTGCTCCCGCTGTCCAACGGCATTGCTCTAAAAAAGATAACGAATGACATCAAAGTGCCAAAATAGGTGTGCAGGGAACAAAAGGCCTGTTGTTTCCCCGGTGGGAAGGAACATGTTGAGGATGGCTTTCCTTCCCGTACCCCCTCGCTGCTGTTGGCGGTTGCTGATCAAACTGTCGAGTGCTGCTCTGTCCTCCTCCGTGGCCACGTGTCCCTGCCACCTTCCTTTTTGCCAGCGTTTCTCAAACTGCCCAGCCAGCCAAGCGAAAACAAATCCGGCCACGCACACACACACACACACAGAGAGAGCAAAGTTCTCAGTGTGGGCTGTCTCTCCACCAGCAGACACTGGTCCGGTTGAGCGTGTTCGGAAGGCAAAGAGATCTCAAAGTCGTGTGTAATCGAGGGTGGGAGATGGGAGCAGGGAGGAGGAAGAGCAGGATCGCTGTGCTGGAGGGCAGCCGTTAGCTTATAGCGACCGGTGAACCAGCACCTTGGACCCCAAGTGACGCGTTCTCCCACCAGTTTGCTCAGAGGCTCGGGTAGAGCACCGGGGGGCTTTGCGTGATCTTCGTTACTGAGTATTTATGGTATTATAGCTCTACGGGCGCTGCGGGAAGCTGAGGAGGTGATGGAGAAGGGGGCTTGCACTGCACCAATCTGACACCTGTTCAATTAATTATTTTCTAGAGGCAATTTGATGATGTCATGCAAGTTGGAAGCCATAATTTTGCTGTCAACTTTGTCCTCAGCAACCTTTTTCTCTGAAAAAAGTAGAGTGGATCTTCACTGCAAAAGAGATCTCAGTTTTAATACACCATGCCTGCTATACTAGTAGAGGCTGTTTTAAGGTTAGAGTAGCATATAGACAAGATGATAATTATTGCTCTGGAGTTCTTCTGGAGAAGAAGGCGAGAGGAAATTTTCCATTAACATTAACAAGAAATACAGGAGATGGTGACAAATAAATGCTTCCTCCATGTTACTTCTCCAGGATCAAAAGACACCTGCCTAATCCCAACATCTAATTGTCACATGATTAAAAATGTATGAGATCTCATGAACATATGAAAGATTGTGTACAGCAGCATAAGTACTTGATTTAAATGCATAAATAATAGCTTCACTCAGCTTTATCTTGAAATGCAAGATCAACAAGGCATGTATCCAAGAGACGTGCTGAAGTTCTTGCACCAAAGCAGCTTATTAGTGAAACTCTGCTGATAACTTTTTCACTTTTAGAGAGCTGGCTGAAGGGCAAAAGGAAATTTGAAGCTATCTGTAAATCTGTGTGTGGGGGGGGCTTTGTTACATATATTTGAGAAGCTAGTGAGTTAAAAAACTTCAAACAACCCCAAAACACAGGCACATCCACGATTTCAACAATTAACTTTTACTTACCAAGAACGTATTTGGTATGTAAAAACATTTCAAAAGTTGCTCGTTGATAATGGTCATAAAGTGTAGAAAATTCTGTGCTTGCTGATTAGGTATCTAGTGTAAGTGTACCCACGTACGGCACCAGAACCCCCCCCTGCCTGTGGCTCGTGTGCAGCCCCTGCAGAGCACTGCCCTGCATTCAGAAAAGACAACGTACAAAGCTTCTGTAGGTTCAACTGTAAATTACGCATTTATATTATACCCAGTGCACACACAGAAACACCACTGCTTTCTGAGGTTTTGCACTTTTACCGTATTAATTCAGTAAAATACTCAGAGTACTGGTTAATTTTAAGCCTGTAAAGAACACAGCTCAGTATTGGACCCAAGCATCTTACTTTCTTGTTAGTTTTAGCTATCTTAATTTCTGCTTTTGAAGGAACGTTAATCCAATTCACTTTTTTTTCTTTCTTTTTTTTTTTTTAAAAGTATATGCCAGGATTCAACTGTTTTATTTCACTTTGGTAGCACTGAGTTGGTTTTTATGTCCTAACTGATCGTAATGGCAGCTAAATGTCAGCTTCGTTTATATCTTAGCTCAGAATATAAACAGAAAAGTATACAAAAAGGAAAATGTTTTGTTACACACTCTGTGAATTATTTTTGCTGTGTGCCTTATGCCAAACAGTTTTGATTCTGCATGTGATTTACAGTCCAAAAGCCATACTGATACATTTTTCTGATTGTATTATTTTCAATATTTTGCATCTAGTGAGGACAAAACACTACCATTAAAATAAATGCATTAAAAAAAAAAAAAAAAATTGGAACTCTGTTGAAATGTAATTCCATCAAGAAAAACCCCACAATATTTCTATATAACATTTTGGATATATTTTTTGTCAAAACATGATCACCAGTCAAACTAGTGACATCTAAACCAAATACATTATTGTGACTTCTAAAATAAAAAATCAGAACAAAACTAAATTTATTATAGCTCTGCCTTCATTAAACACCATGTGTTGGTGATTTAAACACAACAAAACTCTAGTATTCTTCAAAAGTGTCTACTAAATATAATAAAAAGAATAAGAGAACAATTAACATTTAGTCTGTTACATTAAAAAATTGGATGTACGTATTTCTATTGCCTGTTAGCTTTACCTAAGCCTTTTCAACTACTACAAAAATAAAAAGAAAAAAAAGAAAACTCATTGTTCAAAGTCAAAAACATTCAAATCAGTTGATACAACATTACAGTACAGTCAACTAACATCATTCCAGGTCTCCTTTTCTCCGTGTACGAGTCCTCAGACCAGTGTTACAAACCTAGTTCAATGCAGTTTCAAAACCGTATGTTAGCTTTGCAAGATACTGTATGTACTCTACTGATGGCTTCAGAAGAATGGGGTTGTGCTACTTTTGAATCACAGGGTAACCCCAGCCTCTCATTAATTTTATTCAGCACTGTAGTTAGAACAGCATTAAGTTTAGCACGATAACTAAAAACAGGGAAAAAAAAAAGAAAAAAAAAAAAAAAAAGAACTGGAAGCTAGGTGAAGCTGCCATTTGTGTCGAACAATTGCGATACGCTATACTAAAAAATTCTGAAATATCCACCTGTCCTCACCGCTCTGCCACAAACTAGCAAAGTCAAAAATACAAAAGTCTTCAACTTCTCATTTTTGCAGAATAAAGCAAAAAAGTCTTTGTGCTCCTTACTACCAGAAGCAAAATATCCTCTGAGTTACCACATGTAATAGCTTCTGGATGTGTCGACTTGGGTTGGCTTGGTCTCTGCAGAACCATCCTTTTCTTTTTCACTGTCACCTTCCCAGAGATTAATAAGTGGAGGGTAGAGCTCATTCAGTGGGATTGAAGAGGTCTTTTGCATATATTTTTTCAATGAGTGGTGGTAGTTTTTTCTCTTAAATCTTTTTGCAATATAAACAGAAATGGAGGCGAGGCTAATAACAGCAAACATGGATCCCATTACTGCTGCGAGGGCAGTGCTGGTTTCTTGGTCTGAAATATCTAGCGCAAAAGCTGCATTTTTTGTTGTAACATTAACACAGGACTTCTGTGTTTGCTGATGGATACTTGACACCGTTAGACACACTTCATAATCTGTAGATGGTTGTAAATGCGTGAGGTTATATTCATGTACATCAACCGGGACCCTAGCAGTGTACGTAATGTGAGGGTTGTCAATCTTCATAGTGGCCGATGACCATTTCAAATTGGAAGTCATGACATTGGAATTAACTTTCCAAGAAACTAAGATTGAATGCGACTCGGCTTGCTTAACGTAGATTTTCAGAACCTGGGTACCATCCAAAAGCGTTCCGTTCACCCGGATAGTAGCGACCCTCGTGTCGGCCCCTTCTATGTTTTGAGCAACACAGGTGTATCTCCCGGAGTCTTCAACCTGGATGTTAGAGATTTCCAAGGTGCCTTCACTACTCAGTTTGTACTTGTCAGAGAGACTTTCGACAGTTACTTTATTGCCGAGAGGAGTGACCCAGTAAATTTCTGGCTCAGGTTCTGCCATGGCCCGGCAATCTAAAAACACCGTCATGCCGATGTCCAAGTTTAAGTGATTCGGAAAGGTCTCGTGAGAGATCATTGGAAGACACTGTTCGTTTGAATCCTGTATTAACACCTCCTTCACCTGCTGTCCTCTGTATTCTGGAGGCATGGCGCAAAACATGGAGAGAGGTTCCATGAAACGGATGTTGGTTTTGTTTGAGTTGATCCAGTGAATGACACAGTCGCACCTGAGCGGGTTACTGTGGATACTGATCTCACGCAGGTTTGGAAGGGATTCCACCGTCTTTTGGTAGACTGCATTCAAGGCATTGTTGTTCAGCATCAAGCTCTCCAGGGCAGGAACGTTGCGAAATGCCAAACGATGGATGTAAGACAGCTTTGGATTGTTGGTGGCTTCAAGCTTTGTAAGTTCAGGCAGGTTGTCCAGTGCATACCTATCAACAGAAACGAGTTCTCCCATATTATTGATTCCAAGCTCTTTCAATCTGAGCATGTTTTTGAAATCACCTTCTTGAATTTTATGGATCGGATTTTTGTTGAGATCCAGGAATTTTAAATTTGGAACTTTCTCAAGTGCAAGCTGAGGAACTTTTACCAGTTTGTTGTCATAGAAGGAAAGACTTTCGAGACTATCCAAGCCTACCAAGGCATTGCCAGGAATGTCTGTGAGATACATACCTGCCAAAACTAGACTCCTTAAGTTTGAGAGTGGTTTGAAATTCATATCTAGTATTCCAATCACTGGATTTTCTCCAATCATGAGAATCTCTAAGTTTGGAGTAGAATCAAACCAACGGCTGTCAATAACCTTTAATTTGTTGGAGTTGAGATGTAATCTCAAAAGATTCTTCAGGCCAGAGAACGCGTTTGCAGAAATGCTGCTGATCTGGTTGTGGTTTATATATAGCTCCTGAAGATTGCAAAGGTCTTGCAAGCAGTAGTCAGTCATCTCTGTTATCTGGTTTTCCTCCAGGTGCAAAGTAGTAAGTTGAGTGAGATTTGAGAGCCCTACGTCTTTGATACTTGTGAAGTTATTTTGTGAAAAATCCAATTCTGTTAAATTAAACAGCTGTTGGAGTTCATCTGTGGTCTTTGCAATGTTGTTGCTTTGTAACAGAAGGACTTGAGTGTCACTGGAAAGATTGCTGGGGATTTTTGTTAATCGAAGGTCGTTGCAGTCAACTGTTGTGGCTTCCCTGTACGTTGACTGTGGTGTAAACCATGGCCTGATTTCACATACACAAAGCTGTGGACATTCGTTACTCTGTATGGAAGACTCAGTTAATGAATTCATTAACAATTCTAGCACCAACTGGCAAACAGTTAAAACAACTCCAACCTTCGCCATGCTGGTCAGCTAGTGAGTTCAGCTCCCCAGCCCCTCAAAATGGCAACAGATCGAGAAGGTAATTTGTTATCAGGCAGAAAATGTAAAGCTTAAAGTTTAAGGTGAAAGGCTTGGACATCCAGAAGGTGAAAGATGATTTTCGGAGTTTAGAGAAGACAAGAAATGGCCTGAAGACTCTCAGCTGCTCCTGTGTTCCAGAATCTTCTGCAAATCAGTGTCTGAAGATGTTCCTGAAAACAGATTAGGGTATATGTTATGCTCATCTCGTATACAGTTCATATATTATTTAATTTCTTCATCCTTTAAAGAAAAATATCTGAAAACAATCATTGTTTTCACATTCATCTCTCTTACAAAAATCCTGATTTGGTATAGTTACGTTATGTAGGGTTTGGAACTCTCTTCTCCTTGGGATTCACATGAGAAAACTCTCTGCTAGTCCCCAAGGGAGTGACTGCGACAATGTAAGCAATGATCTGAAATTAAAACTTTCAGATACCTTTCAGTTTTACTCTGCAATATTTGTTTGAATGATTTGAGAAATATTAAAGATGGAGGAAATGTTTGCGAGTACAGCCAGGTCTGAAATGAGCGTTCAGAGCATAATCCCGATGGGAGTCGGGGTGCCAGAGCTGTCCCCAGGGCTCAGAGAGCAGATGTGTGGAATTGGGGCGCAGGAAGATACTGGTTTATAAGTTTCAAGCTAAATGCATACGAACTTTGCCAAAATTCATCCGAGTTAATCAAATCAGTTCCAGATAACAGCTTAGATTTAATCCGGCTAAGCACCAAACAATAACAGTAAATTTGATTAAATGAATGTACTGTCCTTATTTTAGCTGTCTGTACTGCATTGTGCATCATATGTGAATTGTTTATTACAATTCCAAATTACTGTGTAAACCACACAATTTATATCTTTTTAGCCAGAAGTTATTCATGCAAGAGTATGTTTGAATTAACCCAACAGCGTCCGATACACCTCGGAAAATCTGATGCGTCATGGGTCTTTAAGGAAAATCTAAGTTCTTTGCAAGATCTTTCCCAGTCTCAATTTATTGAAAAAGCTCCAGGAAACAGTTTGTTATCTGCAAACCTATCTACTCCTGCGGCCGTAAAAAGCGTGGGTACGGTTTTGAGAGTTTCTGCACGTGTAAAAACACGGAGGTGGGGGCCTGTGCTGCGCAATGGCTGCCTGGCTTCCAGAGCAGCAGCGCGTCGCTCTGGTGGTGGTGACGCTGCACGAACCGATTTTCTCCAGCTGGTGCTCGTGGTGGGGAGTCCACATGCCTAGCTGTATTTCTCTTGGCTTGCTGTGCACATCGGTATTGGCAGGTAAAGTCCACCTTTACAGTGTTTCACAGCGAAGGTTAAACAGGTGAGCGCATGTGTTCAACAAGCTTTGAATTAAATACAAAGCACACGTGAGCGAGGCATGTGGCAAATCTGGGTAAGGATTTAAAGAGCAGACCTCTTGATTTCAAGGTGACACCGTAAATCTCATGCTCTGATGACTGCAGTCGAGACCTCTCAAATGCTTTGTCTTTTTATGTAACTAAAATAATCAAGTTGTGTTCTGTCTGAGACAGTGTACATAACGATAAAATGTAATAGCAGAAAACAGGAAATAGCATCTTTTTCAATTAGAACACAGTGATGCCTCAACCTAGTCAAAGTCCACAAAAGACATTACTATATAAAATAATAAAACTGAACACAGTTGTTAATAGTAGTTTCAAAATAGTAATCTAGATAGTGGTGACAGAAATGCCATTTAGACAACGCTTTTACCTCAAAATCTGGTCAGCTTATTAAATAAGGAAGTTACAGTATTTCAATTCAGATTATGATATAATGTAGTAAGTGGAACGCACCAAACAGCATTTTTATTTCGGCATGCTCTTATTTGTTCCGTGGTTATATTCTGGAGGAAGGGCAACAGGAGTGCTAGCCAGAAAGCATTTGACCCTGTTGAGTTAGATTTTCTCTCTGGTAGTTGAGACTTGAATGAGAGGTGAGAAGACCGTGCTGGAGGGGGAAGAGCCGGAGGCAGAACAAACACTCCTTCTCAAATAACTTCCTACTGATGGAAGAGTTGAATACGACATTAACTGCATTAACAAAAATAAATCCTAATGGCAGTGTAACAGTAAGGAATGTATTAACACAGTGATGAGGAGGCCGGCATAAACTGAGTTACGCCGACTTTAATGGATGCTTCTGGAACTTTTTTCCAAGTAGGTGAAGAGAAGGAAGTTCATGCCTGATAAAGCTGCGGGCCTTAATGATGTTCTAGTACTTATTTAGCTCTGATGTAGTTATATGAATCATGTAATACTTTACAAATGAAACTGTCCCAGAAAGACTTCAAAGCTTCTTTTAAAACATGTTGGAGCGTATCTAGATTTTGAAAAAAATCCGAATTGGATCCTTCCTTTGTTGAATATTTATATCCTCTTACTTGCAGATTACACTTATTTCATCCTTTGTAAGAAGGCATTTCTGGTTTTATTGAATACAGTTCTGGGCTTATGATCACCGTAGATGTACGATTTTACAAGTTCCTAGCGACACCCTCTCTTCTCTAGCTATTTTCTACTGCAAATGGATTTAATTTCCTTTAACTGGAAAATGTTCTTTAGAAATGCCCTGCGCATTACTGTCTCCAATCTCCCCCAGCCCAGGACAGCTTGGATGAAGCTATAAATGAAAATCCTTTGTCATCAAAAAGTAACTCCTGGCCAGCTCCACGTGCCCCAGTCCCCTTCAGTGCCGTGCTTACGGGGACGGCAGCCCAGAGGCCGCAGCGAAGGGAGAGGCCAAGTTGTGGACCTGTGCTTTAGCTGCTGCTCATGCTACAAAACCCCATCGGTCGCTTTGATGAGAATTCACGGGGCAGCCGTTACCGGTGCAAAAGTGCTCTGCAGTTTTCGGTAGCACTAAACAGCAATGACTGCTTTTGTTCTGCGGTCTGTGTATGATATACTTGACCGTCTCCGCTCCCGTGTTTGTAAGGAGAAGCTGCCGGCTCTCTGAGCAGCCACCGACAGCCGTCCCTTTGCCCCTGGATGTCTCGGCTTTTCAGTCTTTGCAGGACTGGTCCCAGACACCTCTCTGACATTTCGTGTCCAGAGGAATAAAGTAACACAAAGGTTTTTGCTGAAAGACTGTATTTCTCGAACGGTAGACTCTTCCAGTTCTGAAGTCCTTTCCAGAATTATAATCGCATCTTTCCTAATAAAAACCAGACAATATATGTATGTAGGACATTTTTTGTGGATAAGCTGGAGGACAGCCAGGTTTTGGAAACAAAATCTGTGACAGTACGCGGTTCCAAAAAGCCACCAGTGAATAACCACCAAGCCCATGTGGATAAACCAGCGATAGTTCCCGACTCTCATGGGAATCGGTGAGACTGAACCGAAAAGAATTTGAGTGTTAGTGTGAGCCCCTGTCCTGCTAGTCATTTCAGCATTTTGTCCACTGAGATCCTTTTTGCATTAAGTTGTTAATTTTTTTTTTTTTTTTTAATATAAAACTAATATAGTATGTTGCTGGTAGCCAAGTACAGCCCAAGTGTAGGGGATCAGTTCAAAAGATTTTGGCTTTTGAAGGCCAGGGAATGTCTCTTATAGAAACACCAGTTCCAGAACAGGGGCAGAGCAGTAGCTCCAGGCATTCTGGCTTAAGGGAGTTATCAGTCCTAAAAAACCTCCCTCAGGACAGAGTCATATCATAAAATCTTTTTTTTTTTTTTTTTCCTGAAGATGGTATTTAATATGGGTCATGTGATTGATGGCACTTCTTCCAGTTCTGTGTTAAAAATTTCTTTTAAAAATACTGGATGAGGAAACTTCTCCTGAACAGTAAGGGCATATTATACCTTCTTTCGAGAGATACTATGTTTGTAAAGGATAGCTTATAGCATTATCTGCCTTGCCTCTCATTTATTAAATTAATCTTTTCTGGTGTATCAAACCACTACAACAGTCGTAACAGCTGTTAACTTGATATCAACCGAAATAATGGTTAATTTTATGCAGGAGATACGAAGGGAAATATTTTACTAAGGGCTACGTAAATGCTTTTTCCATAGAACCATTCAGTACCCAGTGCATTAAGAAACCACATTTCTGCCAGGGAGCAAACCCGTGGTGGCTGTCTGGGGTATTAGCCGGTTCGTGTTTCTTGTGGGCAGAAAATGTGAGCATCATTCCTGTGTCTCCCACCTGGAAACGCAGCGGGGAGGTTTGTCTGAGGCTTCCCTTTCCAGCTGGGTTGTGAAAACTTTAATATTGAGAGTTTGTTTGGCCCAAGCAATCGTAATGGTGGGTATTTGGTTATGGAGCAGAAGATCATTTCAGCTTTTCCTGTGGGGTGGAAAGAGGCATGCGCTGGCAGCCGCAGCCTGCTGATGTTCAGGTGATCCGAAGAAAAAGTACACTGGAGTCCACAATGCAGTAAGAGGACAATATGAACAGACAATCGTGAAATAAACCATTCATTGAAAGTGTTCACAGTTAACTTGCCAACTAGAAAAAAATAGATATTAAACATTTTTTCTTGGTAATAGGAAGACAAGTGTTGTCGCTTCCTTGACAGCTGTATTAATGGTCACTATTAAAAGTTGCTGAAAAAAGAAGCAATAGAGTTTGCACATGGTTATTGGGATGTCTATAGAGAAACAGCGATACCACCACAGAAAATCTTCTCTCTGCACAGTTAAGTGGTTCGTTCTTGGAAAATTTCTTTTATATTACAAGTAGCATCAGCACGGATTTTGGTTGGCAGCCATATGTACTAAATGTGCCTAGGTAAAAGTTTAAGGGATCAGATACACGAAGAAAATTACCCCGAGCCAAGACAAGCAATTTATTTTGCACTTGCTGTGAGCCAGAAGCACATACTGATCCACAGTACCTACCCATCTCTCCACAGAAACATTTTCATATATTGAGCCTAAGTAATGTAGCTAGTCTTTTGGAAAATTGTCTGTTGTGCTAATGTTCTGCTAATGACTCGTGCAGCTTGCTTGTTTCCCCATCATCACCGTTTGTGAAACTACTGCCATACAAACACCCTCCCTCATCAGTCAGTTTGGGAAGACTCGTCTGCGCTGCTGCATCCCGGCTTCAGGTGGGTCACTAGGAAAATTGCACATTAGACAGCCCAGCACCCGTGCCCAGGGAATGACCGAGTATTGTGCCAAGGAGTAAGCACTGGTGAAGCT